GGTTATAGATCACATGGCTATCACAACCTTACTAATTATGGGGAGCTTGCTGTGTGCAAATTGCCTGCTGTGTTTCCTAAATTACGACAGTGATTTTACACTTCAAGATGTAATTAATGGCTATAAAGGGTGGAACCTTAAAGGAGACTGAATGACAAAAGCTATGATGTGATTTGCAGCAGAGCTGCATGATAAATTCAGCTATCTAGCTGAAGTCTATCTAGAGGTGACCCAATGCACCTTTTGTGCATTTCCCCACTAGTGGGGTGAGTTTCTTGCTAGGTAGCAGCAAATTGCCAGTTAAGGGGGATCTTAGCTTAACACCTTATTAATACCACAACTTTCCTCATTAATATTCGGTTTCCTTTCTTACTCTAAGGTGTAGAGAATACTTGACATGGATGTTAGAACAAGTATCTGGTGATTTTAGCTTACTGCTTGCTCCACAGGACCTGCATATTTGAGATTGGGCAGCAATATCTTAGGACACGCTCCATGGACAACATCCATGGAGACACTACATCCATGGGCATCAGCATCTGACATGTTGCAGCCTCTAAAACATTTATGGCATATCTCTGATCACTTGTACTACTTCTCTGCGCTTTAATGCTGCACCTTTCACTGCACTAGCAACAAAAGCTGTGGCAAGGACACTGTGCACTCAGGGACATGCACCCAGATCATGGTCTGGGCTAGGTTGCATCTCTGGCTTTTCATTTGGAGCTGGTGTACTTGGCCACCGCCTCTGTGCCCTCTGACATGGCAGCAGAAGGCGCACGGCAATCTAAATCTTCCAGGAGCTGACGGGGCTGTGTCAGTTGTAATGGGCTGGTCAGGGAGCCTCCCCTGTGAAAGTATTGTTGAAGAGTGAGTCCATGATGTTCGTGGCCTTGGAAAAGATGTTGGTATCGGGTTGAACCTGCTTCATCACTTTGTAGATGGAGATGGTATAACTTTCCTAGACTTTCTCCTCTTCTTGCCACTCTTCACTGGCATCCTCTTCATTGTTTTCTTAGTGCCCTTCCTGGCAATTTGTCCTTACTTTTCTTCAACCATGGTCACAGTCATATGCTCACTCACTCTGATCATACCTGGGTGCTCACAGCATTATTGTCTTGCCATTTTGCACTTTGCCCTGCCCCATCACCCAGCCAGAGTTATCAGGCTCATGTTACTCAGTCCTGCCTTGCCATTTAGCACAGATACAAAGGTAGGAAACTTGTCATGTTTGTCAGCAGACTCAGTAAAGTCAATTGAGATAGCCTTTGGTCAGGGTTTCCCACCGCAGTATGTCAAGGACATCCCTGATGCCAGTCTAGCAGCTTGGGCATGGTCAATCACTGTTTGGCAAAGAGATTTGCTAATTTTCCATTGTTTGCCATGTCCAGAGAGCTGTCAGTAACCATGCAGGGCACCTCTGGACTGATACTGCTTGGCCGAGTTCACAATAGGCTGTTAAATATTGTGACAGCACCAGGATGCTGGCAAATTCTGAGATATCAGTGAATGGTCAGTTGTTCCGGGTATGATGCATGGTAAGATCGGGCTAGAAATGGACAAGAGGGATGCCATTGGGACATGGTGTGTAGTTAATGAGGTAAGTTTAGTAGGATACACTGAGGAAATTCATCCTGTCTTGTAACAAGGATTGAGGGTTTGAGACATAAAAATAGGCTAGGTAGGGTCAGAGAAAATACAAAGTGTGGAACTGGAGGAACACAACAGGCCAGGCAGCATCAGAGGAACAGGAGAGCTGATGTTTCGGGTCAGGACCCTTCTTCAGAAATTAGGTTCGGACCTTTTCACTGGTGTGTAGGTGTTTGAACGGTGACCTCATAGAGGTTTATAAAATCATGGGGGGCACAGATAAGGTGAATAGCAAGGATCTTTTCCCTAGGCTGGGGGAGTTCAAAACTAGGAGGCATATTTTTAAGGTGAGAGTTTTAAAAAGGACATGAGGAGCAACTTTTTTATACAGAGAGTGATTCGTGTGGAATGAACTGCCAGAGGAAGTGATGGATGCAGGTACAGTTATAACATATAAAAGACATTTGGACAGGTACCTGAATAGGAAAGGTTTGGAGGGATGGCGGCTGCTACAGGCAGGTGGGACTACATTAGTTTGGGAATATGGTTGGCGTGGACGAGTTGGACTGAAGAGTTTGTATTCATGCTGTATGACTCTATGATTCGATGACTATAACCAAAAGCCAAAAAAAGTCAATTCAAGTCACACTTAGTCAAATAAAGTAAGCTTCAGCTCAGAAAACCTTACATTTTATGGTTGTGGAAGTTGCTACATAAATGCAAGTCTTTATTTCTAATGTTAATGGAAAATTCAGCGTAAGTATAAAGTTTAATCATACTTATTATTTTTGCTAAGATTACACATCTTATAACTTATCTTAAGTATGGTGACCTCGTCTGAATGCTATGCAAAATTCCATAGGAAATCACCATGATGAGTTTTCAGTTCTCATCTGTTAAATTGTATTTTCTTTTCGTACTGAAGTTCTGATCTTGAATTTGTTATCCAATCTAATGTATAGATTTCTGTTAGCCAATATAGCTAAATTTTTCTCTTTCGCTCACCTTTGTAATGATGAGCATAAGAAGGATCAAATCTAAAAACACCATCTCGCAGACATGAAATGTTTCTTTTTCTTTCATGTCCAATTCTCTTCTCATGATCTATGCCCAAAAATTGCACCTTAATCACAACAACTCGGAGGCAGTTTTGTTTTCTTCATAATTTGACCTGATCATCTGTATCTTTACATACTCTCTCCATCTCTGATTCTTTACATAATAATCAAAATGCCAAATTTTCTTAAATAATAATTAATCAAAATGTCATTAACTGCTTCTGCCGGGAGTGCCTCTCTTTTGTGGGGTAAAGTATTTTTGATCTTGAGTCTTATGTGACACTCGAGCCCATAATATTTGGAATGAGAGGTAAAACTGCATCCCAAAGAGTTATGTGTAATTATCAAAAAGAGCCTTTGTTACTCTGATATAAAATGTTGTCCCATAAGCCAAGGAAACAGTTAGCTCCATAAACACTTGACAAATGAGGTTCCAGCTCAACAGATTTTTAGGCTGGAACTTTTGAGCTACTGCTAATTTTGACTGTGGATCAGAATAAATCACTTGTGTAAGTTTAATTCTAGTAATGGAGTGGGTAATTTTATGTAAGTAGGAGCTACATGGGTATCAAGGTCAGCATGTTCTTTTCTCACTACCTTTAGTTTCAGGGGTTTTGATTTTGGCTAATAATTTCCTACATAGAACCTTAGGAAATGCCTTCTAGAAGTCAATGTAAAGCACATCCATTGATCTCTCAACTATTCTAGTTACTTCCTAAAACATTAAGGAGGATTGTTAGGTATGGGCTATTATTTACAAATCCTTGTTCACTGTCTGAAATCAGCACAAATCTCTCTAAGAGTTCAGTCACTCTGACCTTAGTTATGAATTCCAATAGCTTTTCCACTGCAGATATTAGCCTGACAGGTCAAGATTTCTTGGTTTCTCACCTGTGTTTCTTCACATTTAGGTTACTACGTTCACCAGAACAATAAGCTCATGCCTGGAACTGAACATGATGCCCTGTTTAATGTCATAAAGAGCATCCTCTGGTACCTGAATTGAGTTTGTAAGCAAGAGGATTGACAATTTCTGCCACTTTAAAAGCCAAGGGTAGATTTGTCAGAACATTTATTTGAAATGCCATCATTTTTCATAAATCAAACACTGAACCATATCTTACAAATGTGTAGACCCTCTTATATATTCAGGTTATTATGCAACACCTGGCTAGTATTACACTTCCCTTAAGATCTGGTTCTGATGTTCTGTGAAGATATCATCCTCACTGCCTAACAGTTTTCTCACATAACAATTGAAGTTATTGGAGCACCACCCATTTTCCATTACAGAGCAAAATTTAATTCAATGCCAGCATTAAAAGCTGATTCCAGAATATCACATAGCAAAAATATCATATTATTGTTACAACTGCACCCTCATTTGAATCCACTCTGTTAATTGGCATGAAAGATATTCTTTATCCAACATTAGTAAGAAATGTAGAATGAAATCCATATTGAAAAATATGGCATGCTAAGAGCATCAAAACAAGTTTTACATCAAAAGTATTGCCAAAAATTCCCAATAATATTATTCTAGATAATCCAAGACAATCACTGGCACAAAAATACCATATGATAATGATAAAGGTAAAACTGTGCATGTGTAAAGCAAGAAAGAATTAACTTGAATTTTCAAAAACAACTAAATTTAAATCTGTGCAGTATCTTTGCAAGCACATTACTTAACCGGTTTGTGAAAATATAAATCACAGCCAAATGTGATAATAAGGAATTTGATCATTTGTCTTTTTTAAATCTAAGCTGAGCTTCTCTGTTGTAAAGTTCAGTTGTTGAATTTTGTTTAATTGTTTACTTTCATGAATTGTGAGCATTGCTGGTGGTGGGCTATGAAATCCATCTCCCGCACCTCACTTTCAAACTTTCTGCCTATATCAAAACCTGATGGGCTGAGTTAAAAGCAGAGAAAAGCTCCACCTCTTTATCCATTTATTATATGGGAGGGAAGAGCTGTGCTATTATAGCTTCACAGACACCAAGGCTGACATTGGGTATAGATGTATCATAGAATCAAATAACAGAGAAGGAGGCACAATACTGTCCATGCTGGAGATCTGAAATAAACACAGGGAATGCTTGAGAAACTCAGCAGGCCTGGCAGCATTTGTGGAGAGAAAAATATAATCAATGTTTCAAGTCCAGTATGACTCTTCTTCAGAATTCTGTCTTCTTCAGTGTTCTGAAGAGGAGTCATACCAGACTTGAAACGTTACCTTTGTTAACGCAGAAGGAGGCCAATCAGCTCATTCTTGACTCTGCCAGCTCTTTCACAGTGTTCTCTAAGTAGCCCCACTCCTTACTTGTGTAGGAAGCATTTCTCTTCTGGAAGCCAACCTCCTTTCCTCTCAAATACAACAGATTTCGATTTAAAGACATTACTGAGATTTTTTTAGTGGAGGAGGCGCAGTGGGAACTAATCAGACATTCACATTTTAACACCATTCTTCACCATAAAGGTACGACTTCAGGTGATCAGGTTTGTGCATGGATTTTTTTTACCACTTCTATTTTAATTGACAATAATCGCGTTGAAAAATAGTTAAATGGAGGAAATATCGGCAGGGCTGATGTTCTAATGACATATCTGAAGAAAAACATTGGGCAGATAATTATTTACAGGCACTGAACACAATGAATCAAACACATGATGCTAAGCAAGAAGCAAAGGTTTTATATTTAAAACTTTGCTTATGGAAACCGATGAGATTCATTTTAAATTGAAAGTTTAACTTTGAAAGTTTTTCCTTTTCGTTTATAAATCGCCCCGCTACGAATGTTAAGATGACATGTTTGTTTAGACCACTCTGCAAAGACAGGCATTCATAGCCAGCAATCACACACTTGTAATGTTAGTTTAGACGGAGAGGAAAGAAAAACACCCTATACTTTTTTGCAGACTTGTGGTTAGACTCGCTCTCTGCAACTTGCAGATAGGAAAATGTGTGTAATTTCAGCTCTGGCGATCACTGCCCTCTCCATTCACTCCCCTGAAACGAATCAATCAGCCCTCAACGTAACGGATCTGTCCCATCAACTCCCTACGAAAGGCGACTCCAGCACTCTCCACTTTGCATCTGGGCAGTTGACTGGGTTGACAAGGGCAGTCACTGTACTGTTTTGGAGAGAGGTAAATATCCCTTGTGGAGGCATTCCTTCTGATGTTTTAATGTGTTCAGGTCTGTCCCAGCATTCCAGTCCCACAAATTCAGGAGGCGGAGGACGAAGCACGAAAGTCTCCCATCAAGTTGTGGATTAAATGTCGAATTTTTAAAGCTACCATGATTTTGACCTCTCTCAGTTTTGTGCTGCTTCTCGGTAAGTAGTGTTTTGTTTTTGCCCCTCCAAGTTAAATGATTCGTAATGAAGTGTAAAACTTCGTATAAAACTACTTGAATTGTTTCTGTCTAAATCTTTTTGGAGTCTAATAAGTACTTTGTCCTAGTGTGGGTGAGACTGAGGGACCTGCATGAAATTTCTTTTATTCAAAGAATGCTTGTGTTACATTAGGAAGTATGTTTCCTACATGGATTTATTTTTCTATAATTTACTGGAACTTTTAGTGATTTTTGAAAAGATTAACAAAGCCTTTTATTGTAGCCTTGACCATGTGCCATTTGTGAATAAATTAACAGTACTATTGTGTGCATAATTGTCTTAAAGTCTTTTTAGTTCAGTTAAAAACTTTTCCAGTGCAATTGACTTAGTAAAAAGCAGCCTTGTTTCCAAAAGATGTAACTCGACCCATATTGGAAACAGATGTGGGATGTTAAATTAACAGTTTCCAGACCAACGTATATACATATATATAATGTGTATAAAGCAGCAGCCGAGGTTAATGAAAGGGTGGAGGATAAGGTCTATAGAAAAAAGAATTTTGAAGAAAAGATTAATATCAATTGATTGTTCTGCGAGTGGCTGTTTATCATTGAGTATGTGATGGTCTGCCTTTTTGTGTGGCCCTAGGGCCTCTGCAGTCGTGAAACAACTGGAGCGAGACCAAAACCTTGACCTGGCGCGTGAAGCTGTGGCACTTGGGTGTGAGCCATTTGAGAGATGGTTTACAGCACTCTGTGAGCTGCCCTGACCCTGCATGCTGTCCCTGCACCATCCTATGAGACCAAGGGACTTGAAGGCATGTCAGCTACATAGGGATCAGTCAGTTGCTGTTTTCTTTGTTTTTGAAAGACTTAATTAGCATACAGTTACTTGAAGCTAAACAACTCTGATTGGTCTTAAAACCAGAATGTCAAATAGTTTTAAAAAAGGATACATTTGCTTTCAGTGGAGCATAATATTTGCTCTGTATCATTTCTAAATAAACCATTATGAGAAGAATTGCAAAGCTTTGCTTTTTATTACTTTTTGGTGTGCTTTCTATCAATGTGGATTTACAAGGAATAGGTCAAAACCCACCAGGCACACTGGTTTCTGATTCATTCATGTTTTTCGATTTCTAAAGATTTAATTTGTTGGTATTTTTTAATATTTACACTTAGTATTGCATTGTTTGCATTTGGGACATTGGTTACCAAGTCCACAAACTTTGGACTTTATTTTAATGTTAAATCAATGCAACAGCATGCCCTTTCACAATTAGCTCATTGTTAGCACTATTAAACTTCAGTTTGAACATGTGAAAATACCTGAAATATGCTCTAGAAAAGCTTGGATAAGGGTGGCTGAGAAGGTTGAGTTGAAAACACCCTCAGCAGAAATTAGAAGGGTTATGAAAAATAAACTTATAGAGATGGGTTTTGATGGGCATTGTGAAGGTGTGGAGGAGCTTAAGGGAATACTGGATTACATTAAGAATACACATTATCTCTAATGGAACCTGATAAAAGGTTAGAGACAGGAGAAAAAGCTAAGAGGTGAGGCAAAGGGCTGAAGAAAAGTTGGAGAAATAGGTTCAGTGAAGCCACAGAGGGATTGGAACAGTAGTAAAAAGGTTTTGAAATCAAAATTTTTGATGCATCACCACAATGAATAATGGACAATTATTGATATGGCCCTACGTTGTTACTGCATAAAGCAACTTTTGTGTAAGTGATACAGTTTTGACTTAGACAAAATGAATGAAGAAATCACTCAAGTTTACTTTTTTTCTCTGTTTTGAATAAACACAATGCCATTTCCAACTGGACCAAAAAGAAATACAAATATAGTATGTCACAAAGAATCCAATCTGAAATATTACATTCACACAAATCTTTATCAAATAATTATTTACATTTTGAATTAAGACATAGCTTAACATTAGAAAGTATGTTAACTGCATTGAACAAAAGTTTTCCCAAATGTGTTAATGTGTATGATATTCCTCAATGTTAAGGCAACATTTGACCAAGTGTAGCGTCAAGGTGATCATGCAGCATTGGAGTCAATGGAAATAAGAGAGAACTCTCCATTGTTTAGATGATTGCACAATTTTCAGCACTATTTGCAATTTCTTGGATACTGAAACAGTATATGTCAGCCTGTAGCAAGACCTGGTCAATATTATTTGCTGAAAAATGGCAATCAAAATTTGAGCCACGCAAGCATTGGGCAATAACCAGCACTAATATAAGAGAATTGAACAATCTGTGTGACTTTCAATTCTATTGTTGAACCCCACGAAAACCCCATAGTGTGATCATTGAACAAAATATACTGGACCAGCCAAATTAATGCTGTGACTATAACAGTAGGCTGGAGCTTGGGAATTCCATGGTGAATAACTCACCACCTGGCTCTCAAAAGCCTGTCCAGCATCTGCAAGGCACAAATCAGGTATGCGATGGAATACTCCCCTGGATAAGTGCAATTCCAACAACACTCAGTAAACTCAACACCATCTCAGAAAAACAGCTGCTTGATTAGCACCTCATCTACCACTTAAACATTCACTTCTTCTGCCACATTGTCAATACTCTTGCCACATCTTGTACATTAAAAATGTTTAAGTGGTGAAGCTTTGCTTTCTTTTCTCCAAGTGTTAAAGGGACAAAACATGTCTAACTTCTGATATAGGATATTTCCTCTACAATTTAGTTAGGCAATCAGTTAGCTAATCCACCTAGCCCTTTTTACCGCATCCAGCCTTTAGATCCACTAGAATTATGGATATGAATGTGATCTTACAGCATCATTGTCTGGAAATGAGGTAAAGTTATTAGCTTTGAAATCATGCAGCTGTTCTTTGTTCTATCTGTTCACCTGTGAAATGGAGGCTCTCAAAGGTCAGCAGGAATCTTATCCTCCTTATTGTTAACATAGTTTTAATGCACTCTCATGATTTGGACACTGACCTTTCTGGAATGAAATTAGGAAATCCTTCCACATGAAAGATTTGAAACTCCTTTTTGTCAAATGGCAATTGATACTAGATCAGTTGTTAATTTTAAATGTGAGTTTTATACTGAACATATAGATTTTTATGAACCAAAAGTATGAAGGGATTTGGGTCAAAAATGGACATATGGCTAAATTCTCAACATGAATCTCACATATCCTATTGATCCACCCAACATGATTCCTGTGATTTTCTGCTGGAAGTGATGTTACAAGTACAAACCTTGTGACATCAACGTTGTCACTTGCCAAAAATAGACTGACATATTTTAATTATACAGCATAATGGGAAATACATCATACAATGTATTTGCATATTAGAAACATGAACATTATCAGGCACTGGGAGACAGGAAAGATGCACTAGAGTCCAACAGTGAGAAAAACATCGAGACCCAACAAGTATTGATGGCAGTAGTGTGGTGGCCAACAGGCAAGAGTAGAAGTTTAGAAATGGGGACCACAGCTGGAGATGCCTTGAATGGTATCCAGTAGTCAATTGTTGGTTGGAGAAGGAAGAGGGGGACAGTCAGCTGATTGTATCAGCAGAATGACAAAGACTAGTTACTTGCCTATGTTCAGCATGGACGTTACCCAAGCCCTGAATGGTTGCCATAAATATTACCATAGAAAGGAATGAGATGGACTTGAGGTCAGGCTATTCAATTCTGAGATTTTAAGCCTTTCCATTGCAAAAGAGGGAGAGAGTGTTAAAAATCAACACCACTGGGTTCAAGGAACATTTGCTCATTCCTGGGATTGGGAAAAATTATCTTTTAAAAGGAAACTCCATTTGATGCACTCAGAAATGGTGTAAACTTGAAAATGAAAATGTAAATAATGAAGGAAAATTGAACTGTTCTAGCAACGTTGCTGGCCACATCATATTGTAGCTCATGTAGGCAATTTGGGTCCAAGCGATGAACATTATCTGCTTCCTTTCCCAGTGGCCCTGATGAGTGAAACCATTAAAAAAAGCATTGATTTTCACGCTTGTAGCCAAGCTAAAGTTTCATTTCTGAAGAAGGGTTCAGATCCAAAACGTCAGCTTTCCTGCTCTTCTGATGCTGCTTGGTCTGCTGTGTTCATCCAGCTCTACACTCTGAGTTATCTCAGATTCTCCAGCATCGGCAGTTCCTACTATCTCTAAAGCTTCAATAGCTATTTTGAGAAAAACACTAAACATTGTTTGAACATATAGTATGGCTAATTTGAAAAGGGCATCAGCTTGTGGCAGTTACTTATCCAAGGTGGCATTTCATCCAGCTGTATAAGAACCAGATATTTCTGATTTCAGGGCAGATGTGTGCTGCAGAATGCCACACCCTATCTATCATATGCATTGTGATTAACTCAGGGCTCCAGCTCAGCCAAAGACAGGCTCTAGTATTGATGAAAAAATCAAAAATGCCTGTTGGACCACAAGCTTTTACAATACCAACTTCCCTAAAAGCTCATGGAGCTGCAGTGCATTTAAATTAATATTTAGCACCTGTAACTGTTCTTGTGCGGTTGATGGGAGTTAGTATTCAGAATCTGATTGTGGTATGTCTGGTTGAAGTAACGCAGGATGTAAGATAAATTAAACTTGAAAGCAGGAATCTGAAGATTCTCAGCAGGTATGAGATTGTTTTTACTTGTATTTTTTAATGGTGATGCCCGTACCACAGTCTTTGCCATCTTGACATAACTCACACTGAGCATCCATGTCATCTGCTGTAAAGATATTGTTATACCGTCATGACAGTATTATTTGTGTTAACATATCCTCTTCCCTCAGCATTTTTCAATTCATTTCTCCTGTCACAAGTTAGATGTAAGCTGTCATTGCTGCAAAGGGTAACTTTTATTTCCAGAAAGGCCAACCCGCCTCACCTGTATTTCACATAGCAGTACATGCACTCTTTCAGACAGCATGCATTTAACCATAGTAGCTTCATCTCAATGGAGAGCAAACATTTTGGTCCAATAGTGCTCTGGAA